TTTCATTCATTTTTTATTGCGTATATAACCTGTGCCAAGTTCTGTCCTTGGTACCACGGCAAAGGCAAAGAAGAATCAACTCAAGTCTGAGCCCCAAGACTGCCCTGGCGGAATTGAGTTGTACACCTACACAACAGCCCGGTATCTGAAAGACACATGAGACAGAAAGGGAAGAGACAATTTTTTAAAAGCTGTCGTGGCTATTTCTGGGAGATGTCCAATGGAAGAGATGCAGAGTGAAGCCAAGCAGGCTAGAAGCACAGCTGCCATTAATCTGCCTTTCTCTGCCTCAGATCACCCAGTCACCTCTGCCTGCCAGAGCAGCCTCCCTAAACTGCCAAACCACCTCCCCTCACACAGATGGCAGAGCTAGCCAAAGGCAAGGAGGGGGGGTAGGATGTGCACAGTGAGTGGCAGCTGGGGAGTTTCTTTAACTGTGTTTTTGTGTTGGCTTGCTTCAATTCTGGTTGGTAGTAGTACTGCTTGCTTTGCACTTGCACACTAACAGCATGATTTTATTGAACAAATATTTACTAATTGTCTCTGTTCAGAGCCATGTGTTAAGAGATATGGTAAAGAATCAATATGCATTCTGTCCCTTGGTGTTTTAAAGAACACTTATGCATGGTTAAGCGTTAGTACATAGTTAAACGTGATGAGAGGAGTTGGTGCTATGGGTATTTGGAAATGGAAGAGAGAATTTCTGGCTAGGTGTTGAAAGGGAAAATAAGGACAGGCTTTCGAAGAGGTAGCACTTGACTAAGAAACTTCCCTGGACATTATGGAACCCTGAAGACTTCGGCATTGGGAAGGGAGGTATCGGTTGCTATGGCAGCAGAGAGCGGGCTGGATTGGAGGCAGCGATGCCTGTAGGCGGAGAGACCTGTTAGGACACAGCTGCAAAAGGGCCCAGACACTGCAGCTGGAAGGGAACCCAGGACAGAGAAAAAGCAGAGATGTCCCACAGTATCTGGCTGGGGTGGATGGGAGGCTGGCAGTGCTCTGAACTGTGCAAGTGACCGCAGGAGAAGCAGCAGTTTGCAGGGGGAGGTGATGAGTTGTCCGGATGCTCTGAGTGTGACACACCTAGAGAACATCCAGCTGCCAGGAAGTGAGAACGGAGGCCCTGCAGCCTGGAGGAGAGGCCAGGGGTCCTGAGAGAGCCACCGAAAGGGACAGTGGAAACCAGGAAAGGGACTCCTTATAAAAAGAACCCCACAAGTTAGGCATCCATAGAGTTAGTTATCGTGGGATTTTTTTCTTGGAGAGATTTATCACTCTATGTAAATTCCAGCTGAGAAGTGTAAACCTGCATACCTTGATTTTTAAAGTCCAGGAAAGTGTCTAAAGTCGCTTCTTCAATGATTTCAGGACAAAAACTCAATAATCTTTAAATAACATATGGAATTTGAGGTGATGAACTCATTTAGATTTTATATTACATTTTCCAAGGGTCTCTGTTTTATACTTTCTCAGACTTGAGTTTTGTTTTTACTTGAATGTTCTAATTCCTCTGACTGTACATTAAAAAAACTTGGAAAACAGAGAAACATTAAAAAAAAACAAGAAAGAAAGAAACACCAATAACTTAAGCACCAGAAACAAATAACTGTTTTGGTATTTTTCTAGTATATCTGTGTATACATATGTGTGATATATATGCACACACATATGTACTCACTACTCACATACCCATACACTTTGTGAAAATGATTGTATAGATAATATATGAACTCATGAATCTTTTTAGTATTATGAATCCCATTGTATATTCTATTTTACATTGCATTATTTTTACATTGACATTACATTTGAACATTTTCCATGTCTTTAAACATGGTTCCAAAGGCTTCAGGTTTATAGACTGCTTAATATTTCATGACATGAGCCTATCCGACACTGAAGCACCCTCCTGTCATTGGACAGTTCTGCAAGGTGTGCACTTTGACAGGATCTGGTGTGATGACTTCCTTCACATGAGAATGACCACTTACTCCTCATCATCATCTTCTCTGCTTCCCACCACAATCCCTGACATTGGGATTTTAAGAGGGAGACAGTTCACTCCCCAGTAGAAGAGGTACTTGAGGGGTCAGAATAGTTAAGGCAATGGAGAATGAAAAGGTTTGCCCTCAAACCAACTGTTTCTTATGTCTTCCCTCTGTAATTCTTTTTAAAATCATTTTGTCTCCATCCCCACGCCCAACACATTCATACACAGGTAAGAGTACATACATGTATACACATACTATAAATCAAGACCTAAACATGGGAAGTCTTTCTTAACATCTCTAAATGAGATCCTTTGTCATCATTCCTCAATATATACACTCCGCCTAAGATAAAAGTCCAGTGTCTCAAAGGCGAGCAATAGAAAGTTAAGTTTCGGCAGCAGAGCCTGCCCCTCGGTGACAGTGTGCTGAAAGGCCAAGGCCATGGCATGAACCCCAAGAGAGAGCAGGGCCCTGCACAGGCATATGCATGAACAGGACTGGACAGAGCACCATTGTTTTGATATCCTTCTGTTTTCACAGGTGCCATAGAGTCATTTTATGAGTCTTCACTATGACCCATGCCATAGAAAGACAAATATAGCTATAGTTTTGCTGAATCCAGGTTTAAAGCTTCTTGTTTAAACAAAAACGTAATTTCTAAATCAGTCGAAAGCAAAGCCTAACCTCTCAAATTCTATACATTCCCCCCTTTTATTCCCTCTTTTTCATTTCTAGCCTGTCTCCTTCAACATTACTGCCTCCGTTTTAAATATCATCAGCTGATAAATCAGTTGGCAAAGAGCTGCAACAGTTCATTCTAATACTGAAGATGACAAATTATAGCTATAAATTTCTTGAGAAGAGAAGGCAACGATATGCATTTCTGCAATTAGAAATTGATGTAGGCATATTAGGGTTAGCTAAAATATTACTGCGAAGTCAATTTAATTTATTTCCTAATTAAGTACTATTAGATTATGTTCCAAGTTATTAGAAGAACTTTGGAAGGGAGCATTTCATTAAAATACGGTTCTTTAGAAAGAAAATTTCTAAATTATTGGACATAAGATTTATTGTAAAGATATCACACTAGCAGACAGGATTAGCATTTCATATCCAATTTCTTGTCTAGTAGAAGGCAGAAAACAATAGGAAGTTTCTCTAACTTGGAAAAACAGGGAGAAGAGCTTAATTTTAATATTCATTTCATTCCTGTGTTACAGCTGTGAGATTTTGCGTTCCCTCAAAAGGCAACATTCAGTTTCATGAACACTGTTACTTAAGGGTAACACATATACATACACCATGAAAATTGAGTCATACAAATAAGTTTTTTAAAAAACTTAATTCATGTCAATAAACACAGAAATTTAGTAATGTAAGATAAATAAGTAAATTAGTACCCCAATTGTTGTCCCTCCTGGGAAATCTATCTTCATAGCTTTGTTTCTCCTTTTCTTTCAAATTTAAATTCTTTCACATATCCCCTTACCTTTCAGTAATTTCTTTAGGAATTACCTCTTTATCACTTCCTCTTTGTTCCTTATAATCTCCATTTCCTCATGATTGCCATTTAGTGATTTTTTTAATCTTTCTGATCCACAGTATAACCAGTTTACTTTTTCTACCCAGAAGCTTTGCAAGCCATATATTAAAAAAACAAAAATACTACATCATTCCATTTGAACATTTTCCAGGTCTTTAAACAAAAACCTTAATTTACTTATTTAATATAAATGTAAACATGTATATTGAGTATAGATATAAATATTTATATTAAATATAGATATAAACATTTACATTGAATAGAGATATATAAATATACACTCAGGAATACATATAGAATACATGAGTTCCTTCAGGATTCAAAAGAGGGACTTCCTGTCATTTGTCACTTGCAAAATAAGCACCTGCTGCTCATATCCAATCAAGCTCTGCCCCAGGGTGACCTGTGTATTGAGCTCTGTCTTGCACTCTTGAGGGAGGGTCTATTATACTAGCTCTTTCATCTAAGACCCAGAAGTCATATATCTTCCACAAGCCAGGGGACTCGGGAATAAGAAAGTCTTGCCAATTGGAGACTTTAGTTGAATTCAGTGAGGTAGATTAGTGTCGTTTCTTGGAGTCCTGAAGGCCTCTGGGGCCTTCCACACAGCCTATCATATCATTCCTTGTAAATCCATTAGCCGTACAGACTATCATGTCACTTTCAAGGCTTCTTTAGTCTCTCTCTCTCTCTCTCTAAATCGCACAGGTTTCCCAGGGCACCAGGTATACTAACAACAGTCATGACAATCGCAACCACCACCATAATAGCAGTTAATACTCTATCACAGAAAAGATCTTTCATACTTATTATCTCATTTTAATTGTCCTGCCTTATGTTGGTAGGGATCTTGCTTTTGTTGATAGCTGCCTACTATATTCACTACTTCTCCTCCCCTTTATAAAGTAACCAAGTGGCTACTTTCCAGCCATTACTAAAATCCTTAGGTCTGCCAAGAGAAGAAACCTCTTTGCTGGGTTATGTAGCACATTATATAGCATTGTCAATTCCCAGGTACATACTCTTCTCTATTGCTTTCTCTTTCATCATAAGCGACACAGTTACTGTAATTGCTTGGTGAGCATCTGGAAGTAACATTAATAATGATGATAATAATGACCTCATAGGATGTATAATTTGGGGGTTTAAAGAACATTTACAAGCTTATTGTGTCATAGTTAATGATGAGGTGCCAAGTTTTCTTGCCACCACCCTTTCCCTTGGTATTTCCTGCTTGGATCAGAGAACTAATTATAGTCAACGGCACCCTTTCAAAGAACATGCCCCATTCTAAACCATATGGTAGCATAAAGATATTGAACTGTTTGTGTGTTGTTTTCAAGACAATTTATTAATGTTGTTTTGCATTTGTCTAAAAAATGTGTATAATGTAATTATTTAGTGTTTATTTTATTGTGTGTACCTTCTACTCAGAGGGTTGGCATTATTGTTCCTAACAGTGGCGGATACAAGCAGATCATGCCTTATGACCTCTACCATCCCCTTCCTCGGTACGTAAATCAATCGTCCTGCTGCTAGAACTAGTCAATCCATCTTCTGCTTCTTTCATATGTGCATAGAGATTTTGTGTCTTTCTGTCAAAATAATATGGTAGGTAGTATGTTTTGCAAGCCATCCTGAGCTCTGCTTTCGAATAATACTGGCCCGCTCAGACTGAAGCCTGTCATTCAAAAACCATTTTAAGATAGGCTCACGTTACAGTAGAGCGGACACAGTAATTCACTCTGATTAGGTTCAGTGGATGGGTTTATGTTATGTCTTTCTTTCACTCCCTTTGTCCTTTTCTGAATTTCCTCTGCAATTGGACCCTAGTCACTAAAGCCCTGTTGCCAACTGCTAAACAAACATTGCCTGGAGTATTACCACAATACCATCCATGTGGAACTCCAGATGTGGTACTTCTCTGAATAGGGGCTTTAGATATCCTCCTTTTGTTCCAAAGTATGATAATTAAGTAAAAAAAAAAGGCAGGGTTTGGGTTTTTTTTAAATATTCTTATTGTTCAGAAAGTTTGAGGGGACTTTGTTTTTCAAAACATTTTAAAATTCCATGTTCTATGTTGCTTTTTTAAAGCTATAGTAGCTCTGTAAAACTAGAAAACATTATGAAAGTTTTTTTAAAGAACTTGTTCTCTTTATTAATATATTTATAAGAAAACAGGAGAAGCTGAAAAATAGGCTAGCTGCTGAGTGTATTATCAGCCACACTGGGAACAGCTCCCCAGGTAGCAGGAATTAGCATTGGGTTTGAAATAACCACCGAGCGAGGAGAGACCTTTGCTCCATTCTCGGGGCTCATTAGGTCTTCAGGGTGTCGGCTGCTTTTTAGAACCCAGGGCTTAAAACAGATTGCAAACATAGCAGTTGGAAATAATCCACAATAGTTTGCTCAGTCTCAAACTAAACAAAGCCTGGGATATAATTTTATTGTGAACTATAAAATAAAGCAAAGTTTGATTGAAAATCTCCAAATACTTAATGAATTAGAGTCCCAGTAGAGGCATTTAGGGCCATCTCGTCCAGCTCCCCAATGATGTTTCATTCCCCCATTCCTTCCCCCAAATCACACCAATCATATAGAGAGACATATGTTTACACAAATATGCATAGATGTGTATCTAATGCATATGTATTCACACATGTATATACATACCAGTTGTGAAGCTACTTCAACAATACATCAGTTTTCATACACCAGTGCAAGTTGTCATCCAGTCTCTACTTAAATACTTCCAGTGATTGACAGGGAACTCACTTTTCACCATTTAATGGTAGCAGTGGAGAGGGGCCTTTATATTATATATAATTGTGTGTTTGTTTTTAAATTCTTCCACTTAGTAGTCAGCTCTCTCCCACGTTCCTATGACTATATTGATAAAGATGATAAATGACTTTAGAATGCTACTGATGTATCATTTTGCTTGTTTGATCCAGAATCAAGCTTATATAGTAAACTCTTCTTGAAAAAAAAATAATAGAATGAAAATATAAAAAGATTAATTTAGCTGAGCCAAAACTTCATTTGATTTCAATCTCTGTATCTGTAAAGCAAGACACATGTATGTGCTTATGTGAAGGCTGTGTATTTCATGATAAAAACAAAGTTGGGTGTCAGAGTCAGTGAGCAACATCAAGTTTATGTTTTCCCTGTAATGGCACTCCTAAATTTCTTGAATATCTATGCTCTCTTTTGTTTATATTTTTTGGTATGCCTCATACCTGTCTTAAGTTAAACTTGATTTCTTCTGTATTTGGCTTTCCTCCAAAAGCCTGAAGCCAGCAGTCTCAGTAGCAGCTCGAGATGAGCCTCCCTGATGTCCATTTGCACCTGTCCTGTGCACACATTGGCCTGCCCGTGCATCACAGGGGGAAAGGCAATTAGCAAATGGACTATAGTTCTTATTTCTTGCACTTCTGTTACTGAACTAATTCTAAAGTTAGATATTCTGCCTTATTTATAAAGTCTTAGTAAATGGAAGCCACAATATGTTTTCATTTCATAAGAAGAATTGAGGCTCAGAAAAGTTTCTCAGATGGAAGCAGAAGGCCTCACTTATTGGAATTATTTAAATGGGCTTACGACCACACTGTCAACACAAAACACAATTAGTGAATTTTTATTTTTTTGTTTTTGCTTTCGGTTTTTACTATAACACATATCTGAACAAAATATAAGAATGTAACCTGATAAATTATCCTTCATTCATAATTACTACGTGCAACTTGTTCACGTCATTCTTAATTTTGAGAAGTTCATAAACTAAACACACTGTGTGTTTAACAATGAAAAGCCAAAGGAGTTAAAATATATGATATATGAAAATTCATTTATTATTTTTCCAGAAAAAGATTCTTGGACATGCTTTTCTTTTTCTTTTTTAAATATATTTTTAATTGATTTCAGACAGGAAGGGAGAGGGAGAGAGACAGAAATATCAGTGATGAGAGCGAATCATTGATCAGTTGTTTCCTGAATTCCCCCTACTGGGGATCAAGCCCACAACCTGGGCATGTGCTCTGATCAGGAATCAAACCATGACCTCCTGATTCATAGATTGAAGCTCAACCATTGAGCCACACAGGCCAGGCTTTTTTTTTTTTAATCCAAGCACTTATCTGGTCCCTGTATAAAGATACATCTCTCACCTTTTGTTATACATTCTTTAAAGCACCCAGTCATGCTTTGCTTTGAAATTCCTCCTAATACTATTGTTAGGCAAGGATTCATCTGATAATTTTTCCCATATAGAACTATAGTTGCATGCTGTAACCATACTATAAATTCTTAGAATAATATTAGCATCATTTGTCTTTCTGTGACTACTGACATGGAAAAGGATACTTATGACCGTTCATGAAATTACACTCTGGAGCAGGCCCCAGTGTTGAGACAGAAATTAATCACTCTCTCTTTAGAAGGGTCAAGTTTAGGGATGTTAAAGTACCAATTAAAACATGTGCTCCTTTTATGGCATCTTAATGTTCTAAGAGATTAAAGTACATTCAATAACATATTCCCACTTCACTGTCAGGTCAAGTCCAAGGCGAGCATGTACTTCTATATGCAGCCCCGTTTCAGTCTGAATCGGACCTGTTTTCCACCTCCTGAGGGAAGCTCTCCAGAGAGCTGTGGAGACAAATGAGGACTGGGCTTACCTTTCTGGAAGAGAAACACGCCACAGCGCTGCTTCGTTCTCTTGAAAGGGATCAGAAAGTTTCCTAAGGGCTAAACCGAGGGCCTCAGTTTCCCCATAATAACATTTTCTTTTGAGTCTCCTGGGGAAATGTGCATAGGAAAATATTGTATTTGGCAACAAGTTTATGCTGTTCGCAGTGGAGATAATAGTTGTTGCCTAGACTTGAGCAGTACAAAGAAAATGTGGAGGAAAATTCTCTGTTAAACACACATTATACAGTCTCATGCACGAGAGGAGTCAGGATCACATGTACATGAAATCCTACTTAGAGAATTTCTGTCTCCATACTCTACCTGTGCAATATTTTGTGTTTTTTAAAGAAGTTTTTATTTATTTTCAGAGAGAGGAAGGGTGAGGGAGAGAGAGAGACAGGGGTGTGAGAGCAAAACATCGATCGGCTGCCTCCAGATTGACCCTTCGGTGCACAGGATGTCACTTCAACCAATTGAGCTACACTGGCCAGGGCCACTTGTACAATATTTTTAAATTTAACTGTTCAAGTGGATTAACTTGGTGATACTTTGTGTTGCTCTCATTAAAATGATATCTCTCCTAATTCTAAGAGAAATCTTAAAGTTCCTCAGCAGTCCTCATCAACAAGCAGAATATATGCAAGAAAGACAAGCTCAGTTCCAATGTTTCTATTTTTTTAAATTCTATACTCTCTATATCTACAGGAGGAGAGAAAAGGATCAGGCCGATATCTCTCTGCATCTGCTCCCAAATGCTTCAGAGCTATGGGCAGATCTGAAGAATTAATGGGATTCTCTTAAACGTTATGGATAATATTGTTATTTTCTCCATTACTTACCTGTATTTCTAGATTCCAATGCCATTAACCTTCCAACCGAAACCAAACTTCCTCACAATTCCAGGAGTTCTTTATTGGGGGAATGCTAACTGCTAGTATCCCTCAATGGAACAAGTAGGTATTACCTGTACTAGCACGTTTGCTCCTTAGTGTAACGATGGCACAGTTTGGACTTCAGAATTGCGCTGAATCCATGTACAGGGTAGTCGCAAAGCTGACGATTGTAGAAGCAAGAGGGGAAAGTGTTCAGTTTACCTTGATCTTTCATGAGCTTCTCGTGTAAAAGAATCTGGAAGCTTAGTAATAAAGTATTGAATTGAAAATAAAAAGTGTCAGCCCAGGTGCAAACTATATAGTGTTAATTGATTAATCAATTTTAGTCTTGACATAAATATTTAATGATTTAATAACATTTCTATATTCAGAATATATATTTATAAAGCATAATATACACACATGTAAAACATGTGTATTAAAACTAGAGGAAGAAAGACTGAACAGCTCTCTTTTCTTTAAAAATATATATATTTTTTTATTTCAGAGAGGGAAAGAGAGAGAAACATCAATGATGAGAGAGAATCATTGATCGGCTGCCTCCTGCATGCCTCCTACTGTGGATTGTGTTGCTCTCATTAAAACTATATCTCTCTTAATTCTAAGAGAAATCTTAAAGTTCCTCAGCCCTGACCATGACCTCCTGGTTCATAGGTTGACGCTCAACCACTGAGCCACACGGGCCGGGTGGACTGCTCTCAAAACAGTAATTTCTTACATTTGTGTAGGGATTCAAGGTTTACAGGGCACTGTTGCCAACATTGACTCCTTTTCTCTTACTCATCAGATTTCAGGCAACAGATGGCTTTTAGCTCTCTGGACCATAGCTTCTCAGAACCCGATGGCCCCAATAGGCACTGGGATTGGGGTTGGTTCAGAAAGGTCACTAAGGAGGTTTGGCAATGTGCATGTCTGCCCTGATAACTCCCCTTGCTTCTGTAGGTGGGAGGCCACCCCGTGGACCGCGTGCTCCTCCTCGTGTGGGGGGGGCATCCAGAGCCGGGCAGTTTCCTGTGTGGAGGAGGACATCCAGGGGCATGTCACCTCAGTGGAAGAGTGGAAATGCATGTACACCCCTAAGATGCCCATCGTGCAGCCCTGCAACATTTTTGACTGCCCTAAATGGCTGGCACAGGAGTGGTCTCCGGTAACTGTGCCTTCTTTCTTTGTTCATTAAGAGAATAAGTCCACTCTTCCCTCTCATCACCATGCCCCCACCGGCTACCCTGTGCAGCTCCCTACTTCTCTTCTTGAGGTGTCTAGAAATCTACCAATTTTCTCCTGGAGTAGGCATGCCCCAAAGCCGGCATCACCAAAAAATGAGATATCCCTATCTTTCTTCAAGTTTCTTCAAGAAGCCTCTACCATCTCCATGTCCCCTTAAGGACAAGGAGGCACATGTTTGTCAAGAGTAAGTGAGGCCAAATGACTATTCCTGAATCCGTGAAAGAGCTCAGTAGACCTAAAGTTTGGTGTTTTGTTGTGTTTTTCTTTTAAATTTCTTATCCTTTCTCTATATCCAAAAGGGGATTGAGTGGATTAAAATTAAAGCTATGTATATCATCCATTGGAAAAAAAGATGCAATAAAAATCACAAAATAACTGGAAGAGATGAAGTAGAATAACTAAAACAAATACATTCTAGATGTTAGAGAAGACGCTGCAGCAGCTTAAACAAAATTATTTGGATTTGGGGTTTCCTGGCTGCCAGTGCAAAAGGTCTGAAGTAGCAAAGGAGATAGAAAGATGGGGGGATAAACCCTTGTGCCCTCGGTCACAGAGATGGCAAAAGACTTTTCATTTTAGCTAAGTGGCTTTGTGGCAGCAGATCCCAGCTGTGACATTTCGCTTTTTCTATACTTGCTCCCAGGCTTATAGAACCACTGAAGTGTTGTCTACATCTGGCCATTGAATCAGTTCTTTTAAACACTTTTCTCCATGTCAGTATCATCAATTGGATCAGCCAGGCTGCAACATAAATTAGCTATGATGACAGTTGAAAAACTTTCTATGTCCATGTCGGAGCTAGAATTTCCCATATTTTGGACCTACCAATCATTATCAAAGGGACTTATTAATATTAAAATGCCTTGTTAGTCATCAAAATGAGGACACTTTCTAGTTTCTTCTCTCCTTTTTGCTGCTTGGTTTGGGACTTTGCACAAAGTGGGTGTTGAAGGAATGCTGATTGAGTAATCCAAAATGAAGTGATTGCATCTTCAGCCAGCTGCACCCTAAAAGCCCAATAGCATAAAGACCCCATGATGGGTAAGAAGTGGTTTAAATTCATCAGGAGTCCTTATATACACAAGCAGCCCTTTGAAAAACCTCAGTGGGAAATGGAGAAGAGGAAACAAAGCTTTGCCTGTGAGTCTCCTCTCTCTTGCATTCTCCTTCTAGTGCACGGTGACGTGTGGCCAGGGACTCCGGTATCGCGTGGTTCTCTGCATCAACCCTCGAGGAATGCACTCCGGAGCTGTAACTCCAAAACCAAGCCCCACATAAAGGAGGAATGCATCATCCCCACCCCCTGCTATAAACCCAAAGGTAAGTTGGCAGGTGCTCTGTGATCAAGCTTTTTAGTATGTGTACTTGGGTGCTGTTTTAAACTCCTTGGAATATTGTTAAGTATCCCACGTGTTCTTAGTAACTATTCTTTGTAAACTTAGACTCTACTAAGTGGACTTAACTTTTTAAAAGATCTTTCCAATAGTCTTGCTTGCAAATTCTTATAAAGCACTACATACTTATATAATGCTCTCCTGAGTCATAACGTTGTTTGAAGACTGTTGCTGAGGAATATCAGATAGATCTGCATGCCAGGAGATATTATAGAGATATTGTAGAAATATGTGTGGTTAACGTCCACATTGCTGGCTGTTAAAAACAATGCAGTGAATTCTAAGTGTCCATTTTGCTAAGCAGAAAATACATTGGGAAGCCTCATACCTCAAACAGATGAAACATAATGGGGGGGATGAGGACACATTTGTAATACCTTAACTAATAAAGAATTAAAAAAAAGATGAAACAGAAAGCTGTTGCTTTTTATATTAAAAATCAACACATTATGAATGTAGTGGATTCCAGAAACATAATTTGAAATGAAACATTGAAATAAATTAGAATTTAATAGTTACTGCAAATAATTTTTAAAAGTAAGCTTTAGAACAGTTCTACCTAGTGAGCAAGATTACAATTATGCTGGACCGCTCAGATTAGCATGGATATTAATCTGACTTCTCTGCTAATATTGGTAGAGTCTGTGTCAATGAAGTAGAAAATTCCAAAGTCACAAACCATTCAGAAGTAAAGGACTTTTTATTACAAACTTCCTCCTATTTTTAATATTGAATAGGATTCCCATTTTCTTCTCAATTTGTTTTCTTAAGCCATTAAATTTCTCCAAAAATCAGCCACTATATAGCTCTTTATTATACTACAGTTTGCCCTTGGTAGGAATGACTAGCATTGTGAAATCTAAATTAATGATATAAAAGAAAAACAAAAGCATCCTGGAAATCCTGATTAATTTTAATTTATCACCTCTCTCTGTAAGCCTAAGTTTTATCTGTAAAATGGGAATAGTAACAGTAGTTCCCTCAGAGACCATATGAAGATTTAATGAGATACAATGCAAACAGGGTGCTTAGCTCACTGCCTAGCATGTAGTAAGTGTTCTATAAATGTTATCTTGACTATCATTAGCATCCTCATATGTGGGAGGAAGTACATCTGACAGGATTCAGTTCAAATAGGCAGTAAAGTACAACGAGCCCACTATTCGTGCCAAGCTGAATGCTTCCTTATTGAAAGACAGGGATGGCTCATGCTGTCAGAGATGGCGTCATTGAGTCAATTAGCTGGGAGACGCGGACTAGTTAAATGATGGTTAAACCCTCAATTTTGCAGACCGCCATTTAATGGACAAAATAACAGTCTGTATGTCATACGTGAAATTAACAACCTGTTAACTTTTAAATGTTTTTAATCAGTATTTGCTTATATTTAAGTTAACAGGTTATTTTTTGTTGTTATTCACTGTTATTTTTAACAAATTTTAGCTAATAGGCCATATGTTGGGGAAAAACACTGTAGTAATTTCACCAAATGTCAATAAATATTACATTTCTACAACTATAGTGTACATATGTAAATCCTAGGGTCGCCGCTCGTAAACAGTGTTTGGCAACTGATTAGCATGTGATCACACCGCATCACACAGGGTAAATGGTTCTCTTGCCATGTGGCGTGACTTTTGCCGCAGTTTTAATTGGTGCCAGCCGATGCGCCCACGTGTGCTAAGTCACGCCCCAGCCGCGTGCATTTGTTAACTCACAGTGACTGGTGAATGCACGCATTTACTAGACCTATTCAGAATAAGTTTAAAATTATTGCGATACATAGAGAAAACTTTTCTGTTAAATTAAACTTTTCACACATACTTAATTTTTATTACACAACTGTATCTACATAACCTAAAAACAGGTAAACTAATTGGCCAATTTTTTAACAGACACATTCAGAAAATCTACTTTATTATATAATGGGCTTTCAACTTTAACGGACACCCCCTTGCCCGAATTAGTCTGTTATATCGAGGTTTTCCTGTATATAGGTACCGTATTGCTGAGTCTAAAATGTTAGCCAATCTTTTGGGCTTTGGCAGTTTTATATTTCTCACTCGCTTTGTTTTCTGACCGTAAACAATTGCTGCACACAGAAGACAAGAAGTGATGCCCTAACTTAAAATAGTCAATTAGTCATTAGCTCTGTCTTTACCAAACCACTTCAGAAAAAGAAAAGCAGTTTGTGGTTAAGTATCAAAAATAAAATCGGGATTTTCACAACTAAGTAGTGAGTCTGGCTCTACTTAAGCATCATTAAAATGCTATATAATTCTATGGTGTATGCCTATATAGACATTTCTTTCATCTTTGCAATTATATGTTATAAAATGGTGATAGAGCTTCACTGGCTTATACTATAAAGCAAATATGCCTATAAATGACCCTAATAAAATATGTCAGAATGGAAATCTTGGCAGTTACTTCTGTAGGAGCAGTTTTAATCTCCCTCTTTCTTTTTCTCCACAATTTCTCCCCAGGAAGTAGTTAGGAAGCTTGTTCTGAATTGTTTGGCCAAAGCTACAGAAATAGGTGAAACAAGTCAGATCATGGGTTATTATCCTTCAGTTGCTCATATTCCAATTGTCAGTGAGCCTTGGGGTGTATAGTGAATGAATCGGATATCTGAAGCAATGGTTTGTAAATATCAGAGTGGCGGTTCTGTTTGGTTTTGACAATATGGCATAGATCACACTCAGACAAAAGCAAAAGAAAAGCAAATTAGAATTTATGAAAGTAACACAGTATAATGTTTTGTACTTTGTGTTTGTTTTAAAAGGTAAATATTGCTCTATCTTTTCAACAGAAAATAGTGAAAAGATACTTTGATGATATATTGAGCTAGTGCTCCTAGAGTTATAACTTTCATAATAATATATATATATATATATATATATATATATATATATATGGGAAAACATACACAGTATTATTAAACATGTTAAAATCACATTCTTTTTTTCTGGATATAATCATCATCAGAGGCAGAAATTTACCTAAAAACATTATTTGCAGTTATCAACATAGCTTGTGGGTAATGTTCATACATAGCTTGTGGGTAATGCAAACTCAAGAGCTAGTTGGGGTTCTAACCTCATCTCTTTTATGTTCATACATTTAATTCTCAGAGAAAGTTCCGGTAGAGGCCAGGGCGCCGTGGTACAAACAAGCTCAAGAGCTAGATGAAGGAGCTGCTGTGTCAGAAGAGCCCTCGTAAGTTTGAAAACCACAAGTTGTTTTGCTCTTGAGGCCGATCGGGGTAAAGAAGGCCCTGTCTCGCTGGTTGTGGCTTTCATAGGTTCTGAACTAAGTGCAGCCCTCTTGCCAAGCGTGAAGAGGGGCTCTGGGCTGTCAGCTTGGAGATCCATCCATTTCAAAGTGCTTCTCAGAACAGGACTGCTCCCTAAATGCTTGTCCATCTTGAAGCAAGAAAATGAAAGGGTAGTGCCTACGCTATTCTCCAAAATCTGACTTCCTTTTTCCCAAGAGGCCAAATGTGACAAGGCCCAGCTGATGATGACATAGATTTGAGGTAGGAGCCTGGGCAGCTTTCACACTCCTTATCGCTCAGCTTTGCGATATAGTCACTCGCAAAAAATAAAAGTGAGTGAGATGTGTGTGAGGGCAAAGGAAGTTGATCAGCGTTTCCTTTCTCTTTCCTGCGATCACATGGATACCAGGTCTTTGCCTCACTTGATCACGGTCTCATTTCTGCTCGGTTTTATCAAGGCCATCGAATTTGTAACACCACTAGGCACAAAATTTTCACAGAAAAGAACGGTTCGTCTATTGGGTAACACATTTTGTACATCACAGGACAATAAGCAAAACACAGATTGTTTCTGTACCATAAAGTTACCACAGCACCTTTTTCTACTTCTCTGAGAAAAGGCTTTAAGACAGAATGCCTGACCACGGCAGAGCTTCGGAGGAAAGGCAGTGGCTAAAGGTCGCAGTGCCATGTTTTTCTTTTCCTTTCTCTCCTGCCAATACCGGGCTTGACAGGCCTTCTTGCTGCTGAAGAGGGAGAAAGCAGTTCATTTTAGACCAATATTAAGTCTTTCATCCACTGAGGTCCAGGCTAAGACACTATGTAATTGGAGCCAGTTACTCCTTACATATCCTCTTAAGTTAAATGTTGAAAACCAGGTATGTATTATTTTACCTAAATAATATCTGCTCTCCCATGCACTCTATTTTGTCACTTAGCGTAACCCTACATGGAATATTGTATTATGACCAATGTTAAATAGCACAACAAAGTTAAAATTAAATCCAGACATTTTGCATCCATAATTAAACATCCTTCCCATTATTAGACACCTCTCAAGTGAAGGCTGGAAGAAGCATTACCTATGCTCGGCCATATTTTATAATGAGTATTTTCCACTAACGGTCTGTTTAAGATGCATTACGTTTAACTTTAATCTTAATAAAATTCTTAAAGTAGTTAAACATATACTTTTAGCCACTGGAACTCCAGCCATATATTAGATGATTAAATTTTATTCTCAGTGTAATGGAATTGCCATCTTGGCATGATTAATCTGAACTGAAGTCGATTGTAATTGGAGTGCTGGTGCCAGGTACAGGAAATGTATACTATTATGCTCAGAACAATTACTTTTATACCAAAATGAAATAAATGACAGCTTTAGGATAATGTAGTGAAAGGTATATGGTTTCCACACTTTAATACACTTTACATGTTCAGTGCACCGAACCGTAGGAAAGGTCCAACGTGTCACATTATATTTTTTATTGATTTTGAGTTTAAAAAACATAATTTTGCATGGGCTTAATTCTTTCTCTCTCTTTTTTAACCACATGACTAGTTTGTAAATGTATGTAGCAACCTATAATTACTCTCCATAGTATAATGAAAAAATGACATACTGTCAGCAAGTCTTCCCTCCCCACACCGACGAGACTCGCATTGCTTAAATTAAACTGTAACGTTCAGAAGCTGTGGCTGTCACTTCTGCGACAGAGAAGCAGGAACAGTGGCCCAGAACTATTATCTCTCACATTGGCTCCAGTTAACCTAGACAATTCTGTAGTAAAACAGCAAATATCATTTATTTCCCCTTATTTAAAATAAAACCAGTATCACTAGCCTGTCTCATTAAATAATGTAGGGAAAGTCTTTAGCGTATGGAGATACTATTATTGAATATTAGGTATTTTTGGTAACCCCCAAATGAAAAAAAAAATTGGTTAGCACTCTGGCCAAAAACATGTTGGAAAGCAACCACTGTAAGATATGACCTGCCAAGGAATAACTAAAATTTTCTAGAACAGAGGTTTGTGCCGGTAGTGCCGGTTCACTAAACTGACGCTATACAGAAGATGCAAATACATATGCCAGTCTCCTGGGAAGGCTGGACTAAGTACTGAGATTGGGTCACGTTGTGGCAATGCACTTAATATATTGCGATTCATATTATCAAGCTGCAGCCTCATTCAGAAATTCTTTTAGACTTTGATTGCTTTTTCCTCAGCAACAAACTGGTTTATTTATGCCGCACTTGATTTATATGGTCCCAAGGCAGGAATGTAGTAATGAATGGATTGCTTTGACATAAGAATTGATTTCCTAACCCACTTGTAGGAGTCAGACCCTCTAAACTGATTTTTCACTGGTGGTCATGGTTTCTCTTGATTCAGGCACATGTTTTATCAGGTTTGTCTGACAAACATCAGCAAGAATGTTTAAGCAAGGTAGTTTTGATTCTCTCCACTGAACAGGACAGTGTGAACAAGGACTAACCCTAAGCAATGTGAGAGGTGAGCCAATAAAGTCGGTCAAGCATAGACGATCTTATGAATAAGACATCCTTGCTTCCGAGAATGTCCGCTGAGAAATCCGTAGGAATCTCTGCTACCCGGTTCACACAGAAAGCGTTATGGCTAGAGACAGATTTCTACAACTAACAGATTCCAGGAGCGTTGCATTTTTCTGAAGAGAAGAGGGTGCCATTCTAGCACTAGAAGGAGGGAGATGGGATATGACTAATGGACTTCTCCTCTGCTATGATTTGAACTCCTGAATTTGCCTCCAGCTGATGAGAGTATTGTTAGGTTTAGAACGTGTCGTGTAAAATACCAGATTGAGCCCAGCTGATGGCCTCCTCTGACAAATATGTGGGAGTTGCTTTCTAGGGATGTTTTTAAACCCTCAAAATTTTACTTTTATTTGGTGAGGGATCAGAACTACAATGTGGTAGAAGAGTTATATTTATGAATCAGGTGAGAGCTAAAGAAATTATCAACTTGAGTTCCAACCTTTTTTTCCCCCTTACTTTCAGTCTTTGCTGAGATGTAAGTGTAAATATTACAACCACCTCAAGCCAAGTGAATGTTATAAATACTTTGACAGCTTAATTTTTTTTATTTTTTTTAATCCTCACTCAAGGAGTGAGGATATTTTTTCCATTGATTTCTAGAGAGAATGGAAGAGAGGGGGTCGGGGAAATGAGAGAGAGATAGAGATAGAGATAGAGATAGAGGTAGAGGTAGAGGTAGATGAGAGAGAGAGAGAGATAGAAGAGAGAGGAGAGAAACAGCAATGTGAGAGAGACACATTGATTGGTGGCCTCCTGTAGGCACCCAGATCAGGGATTGAACCTGCAACCCAAGTTTGTACATTTGACCAGCAATCAAACCTGTGACTCTCTGGTGTGCAGGTCGATGCTGTAATCACTGAGCAATGCTGTCCAGGGTGAGAGCTTAATTTCTTGAGCCAAAAATGATACTATGGTGACCTCTAGAACATGAAAAGACATAGTTCGTCTACTATTGCCATATAGGGAGTTAATAAACTGGCCTTTTTTAAAAGCCTAATCTAACTAAAAGAAATTATTCATTTCCTTAACTCCTCAGGCCACTAAGGCCACCAATGCCCTAGTGTCATCTGTTAAGGAGGCAGGTGTAAGGAAAAGGTATGGCCTGGATACTCCAGATGCTCGGCTTTCTATCTCCAGGCTTTCTGCTCTCCCAGTGAAGGCATCCCAGGGAGAGGCAGGGAGGACTGACTAAGTGGGCACCTAGTGAGGTTCCTCCCAGATTTATTTCAGATGCTGGGAGTTCTGCTTGGATGGCTCAGAGCAAGGAAAGGTGATTCCTTTGGGCACTACATGGTCAGCACAGCCATTTGTCCAGCCATCCCTCCAGCAAACCCTGGCACACAGGTGGAAGGCCATACCGGTGCCATCCTCTTGAAGGTAGGATTGAGTGGTCCTGCGTGCCTTGAGCTTGCACTTAAGAAATCTTGAGTTCTCTTACTCAATCTTCAGTTAGCAGCTTTACTACAGAGTTGGTAAACATTCAGCACAGTGTGCAGGCCTTAAACATATTGCCATAAATAACCTTAGTGTGAGCCATTTCAAAAAGGAAGAGGAAGGAGGCAAGCGAGCAGGCAGAAGGCAGCAGTAATATCTGGATGCCAGATGGCATCAGCTTAGCGATGGGGCTGATTCAGTAAGAAGCAAAGAGAAATTCCTGCCATGCTTCTGTGTGGACAGAACCCACAAGGAATTAGGCCCAGAAAGAAAAGCTGATAGAGTTGCCATGGTGATCCTATAGTCCTGAAATACCGTGTTTACCTTGTTGGAAATAGCATTTAGATGTATAATATTTAAGCATATGTTTACATTAATCCATATTTATATCCAGTAAGTTGTCTGAGAATGTGGATGGTTTAACTTGGTGGTTAGAATGTGAATTCATATTTTAAGAGAAGAAAAGTGTGCCTAGAAATGTTAATTATGTGACATGTGTTTTTCCCTCAAAGAATATTTAGGGAATCAAACATCCATAATAGATCCTAATAGTTTGTTTTTTATATCCTCACAAGGTGCCTGAATTACATTCTCTTTGTGTATTTCAGGCCACAGAAAATAAAAGGAATTATATGTATATATGTATATATGTATATATCTATATATCTATATATCTATATATCTATATATATATCTATATCTATATATCTATATCTATATCTAGAGCTATATCTATCTATATAGATAGATAGATAGATAGATAGATAGATAGATAGATACAGATCTATTTCTTAGGAATCAAGAGTCATCTCACCTAAGATCGAGAAATTTAAACAATATTTGCAGATCATTAAACCAACATAAAGGAGGTTTAGCAGAACAGGGCTGAGCATTAGAATTATAAGATTAAAAAAACAACAACACAAAAGCGTT